TATCTGTTACTTTATCTGTTGCTTTATCTGTTACTTTATATGTTACTTTATATGTTACTTTATATGTTACTTTATCTGTTGCTTTAATATTTTTTTTTGATGTTTCACCCGTTTTATCTTTTTCCTCTAAATATTTTTTAAATTCTTCGAGAGTACTACCTTCAGAATATTTCTCAAGAAAATTATCTAAAAGAACTAGATCCCATTTAATTGGTTCAAAATTTACAAAATGCTCTAGATTATTTTGGAATATTGCCCATTGTTTAATATCGATAGAGCTTTCGATTGGTGGTTTAGGTTTGGAACCGTAAATATTATTTTTCATTCGTCCAACAATAACAACTTTCCACTCATCAACTTTTCCAGAGCTTGTATTTTTAGAACCAATTTCTTCTTCGTTTTCACTCATATTTTGGTTTTGTTCATAAAAATCCAAACATTGAAATTACTCACAATTTATAGATGGCAAAATGTGATGAAAAATTTCACGTGGATAAAAGAGCAAACGTCAAAATGATTGAAATGAAAAAAAATTCAAATGGAAATTTTTTATGAATTTAATGCAGTGAAACAAAAGGTTGCGCCAATTTCCATATATGAATATATTCTTTAGTAAAAACAATTTTGCTTATACCTCCTCATGAATTATGTACACTAGTTATTATACTAACACTAATATTTCTGGAAATTTAATTTAATTTAAGAAACAAACTGATTATGCTAAGATAGCAATTGGCGTACATAAGAGAGATATAAATATACAACTGTCACTTCAAAATAGTTAATAGACATTAAATTATACATGGTGTTACATCTTTTTTCATCAACTTTGCAAATAGATACATTATTGATAAGTGTAAAAAAGATTACAAATAGACATTTTTGATATATACAAATGTACAATACTGATTGTTACCATACGGCGTGGACTAAAGTATCCGATTGAAGCGATTTTTTACATAATAAAACATTATAAATCACCGGTATTGCGCATCACATGGGTATATAAATACTATTTAAAATTTTACTCTTGGTACTCTTTCCACGCTATACTGTAATAGGCATTCAATTATACATAAAATTACATGAAGCAGAAGATTTCTTTTATCAACTTTACAAATAGAGAACAGGTGATGAACTTGGGCGTACATTATTAATCACGAATAGACATCTGATGTATATTTTCAATAGACATCTCTACATATAAATACATTACTGATTACGTACCAACTGATTACTAATATACATTCAATTGTACAGAGAACAAGTGATAAACTTGTAAGGAAATTAGGCGTGCATTATCATAAGAGTAAAAAAAGATCTTTAACCTAATATTTTGATGATGTTTCAACTGATCTGTCAGTCAATCAATTGTCTATTAGGATCTAGGAGATTTTTTCTATTCTTTGCAAATAAAAAACAATGAACTTGTTTTTTAAGGAAATTGGGCGTACATTATCATAATCAAAAGTAAAAAAAATACCAATAGGCATTTTGATATATATTTTACAATAGACATCAATTGATTATCAATTGATTACTATACAATATACATTCAATTGTACATGGACATTTTATAAATGACTGGTGGCTTTTCTATCAACTTTGCAAATTGAGAACAGGCGATAATCTTGTAGGTGTATGATGTATTTATATTTGATAAAATAAAATAAAAAATCACTAATATATATTTACAATAGATAAAGTAACATATAAAGTAACATATAAAGTAACATATAAAGTAACAGATAAAGCAACAGATAAAGTAACAGATA